GCGGGATACTCGGGAAAGAATCACCTATGTGAGAGAGAAGTGAGGGTCGCTTCAAAGGAGAATTGACGGGCACAATTCTTCACAAACTCTTGCAGAACCAGGAATGGTGACCCACGACCAAAATGGGCACAATCATGAGAACAAAGCATGGTTGGGAGGTTCCTGTGTGAGATATGTCATCGTCTATACAAACGGCAGTCGGTTCAAAGACATCGCGTTCTACCGTACAGCTAGTAGAGTAAATGTATCTTCACGACGGAAGGTTCAAAGGGTGTGACCCTACCTATCCTATGCAGGGATCGACCGTTGAACACAGTTGTTTCCGTTTTAAAACTACCCCGAAAATCAATTTTCATTTATGTGGGGGATTGTTGGAAAAATTAGCTTAAAATGGCATAAAATGACATATTAAGTGGCTATTTTGTGGTACAATTATCTGTGGGGTCCACTTCCGATTTGGGTCGGGTCAAAGTGGATTCGGATTCTTCGTAGTAAGACGAAGAGATTGATATATTGTACGCTCAAAACGGATAATGGGTGAATGAGATATTGATTCTCAAAGTAGACCCATTTAAGTTGGGAAATGAAGGGAAAATGTAGGACTTTGTCCCACATTGGTTTGAAAACAAGATTTGCCCCCCTTATATACATGAGCTCTTTTCAAGCTTGTAGAATTATATAGCATAGAGGCTCTCTCGCGCGGGGGGGGGGGGGGGGGGGGGGGGTGCAAATCAAAATCCAACTAGAGGACATCAAAAAGGCTTGAAATCAAACCCGAGCTCGCGTGCGCCGGCACCTGCGGGCACGAATGTCGTCCAGCACGAGAGTAGTGCACTCTCGGGTTGCACCACAGTGCACACGAGAGATGTACTCTCGTGTTGACTGGTTCGTGTGCTCTCGTGTGAACCTGCAACCCAACGGTCTGAAACCCGAAAGTGCAGAAGATTAAACTCATCTGTTACGGAATTAATACTGTTTTAATTCCAATTTTTAAATTCTGAGTTTAATCCTACTTAGTGGTGACCGTTACAGGTGTTACACAATTGGTTTTAACACCAATTTAATGGCCATGTTGAATGCTATCACTCCAACATCCCTATATAAAGAGAGGTAGAAGCAGTAGCATTTTACATAGTACAAAAATGAAAGGAATTCCAGTAGCTTTCAGCTTCCTAAAACTCTGCTTCTACTCTCTTCTTTACCAACTAGTGTTCTCTACTTTGCTTTGTTTGCCGGGTTCCTTGTTTAGGTGCTTAAACAAGGAATCGTAGCACGTTTTATCCTGGGAAACCTAGGCTACAACGCTCCTAGCACTTGTGGGAGGTAGCAAATAAGGTTTTAAGGAAAAGAACCTTGTGTTCGAACTCGTGCTAAACCTATACCCACACTCTCAACCTTTTCCTTCCCAATTTTCTGTTTTCCCATATAATATTAATCTTTCCGTAGGATTATTATTATTTTTGGGATTTTCCACCTAATTACCCAACAGTATACACTGTATAATTGAGATACATATTTGAATATTTGTATGCAATTCTATGTTTGAGCTGCTGAAAAATTATGTTTTTTTTTTTTTCGCATTAAGAAACAAAAAAAAAAAAAAATTCAATTTTGATATTTTTTTTTGGCTTGCTGCAGCTTCGCTGTTCTCTTTAGAACTCCGGTCTGCGGTTAGATTGCCGGCGACCTTTGTTGATGGTGGAAAATGACGGCTCATAAAAAAAAATTATACTCTCCCGTTGTTTTTCCGTCAATATTGCCGTCAACAATGGAACTCCAATTAGCGGAAGGTTGGGGATCGGTAGCCAGATCACAAAACTCTAATTTCCTCAAAGCTTGTTTCGTCCACCTGCGTACAGTTCTTTCAATTTCTGGATCGTACGGCAAGATTTCTTGAGTGGAAAGATGTTATACTCCTGCAATTAAGATTATTAGAGTCCGTGTTCAATGAAAAACCCCCTGAGGTTACTGAAGAAAGCACTGGTGAAGCCAAGCAGCTTCGCGCTCGATGGGAGAAATCCAATGGATTATGTGTGCTCTTCATCAAGTCAAGAATTTCCACTAAAATTCGTTATTGTTTTGAGGACATTAAGGAAGCTAAAACTTTTCTCAAAGCTATCGATGACAACATTAACTATTCAAATAACTTAGAAGAATATTTAACCTCAATTTCTACTGAATATTAGAATAATTTGTAGCACAACATCAACTAATATAGCAAATAATTATATCAAATAAATAACTAGTAGGCCTCCCTAGCAATTAAATGATACAACTATTAAAAATAACTTAGAAGAATATTTAATACTCAAATGCATAAAAACATATATATTAAAAATAAATAAATAATCTTACAGCATAATCAATTCCGGGGCTTCAACTCACTAAACCAAGCTAATGAAATTAGCACCGAATGGACATTGATAACAACTTTAAAGAATAATCGAGAGGGGAAGAATGAACAATGGATAAAAAACTTTTCCCCTATTTATACACTCTCAAAATATATTAAAGGTATTTTCCACCGTTTATTTCCCTCCTTTTGCACTGAAGTCTTCCGCTGTTTCGTTCATTTTTCTCCGTAAATATTTGCGTTGAAGTTGACGCTTTCCACTGCTAACTGTACGAATGAGAAACCTCCTGAGGTTACTGAAGAAAGCACTGGTGAAGCCAAGCAGCTTTGCGCTTGATGGGAAAAATCCAATCGATTATGTGTGCTCTTCATTAAGTCAAGAATTTCCACTAAAATTCGTTATTGCATTGAGGACATTAAGGAAGCTAAGACTTTGCTCAAAGCTATCGATGACAACTTCATTGACTCGAAGATAGCTTTGGCAAATAACTCTAATAATGAAGTTTAGAAATTTCCATCTTTCCACTATCAAGGGCACGCGTGAGCACATCACGCAGGTTAGGGACATTGTGGCTCTGTTAAAGAAGTTAGAAATCATTATAGTAGCTGATTTTGTGGTGCGTTTTGCAGTTGAGACCCTCTCCCAGGAGTACAGTCCTTTTAAGATTTTCTACATCACACATAAAGTGGTTTGGTCTATCAATGAATTGATAACCATGTGTGAACTGGAGGAACAAAGGCTTGTGGCTGAGCTTGGGTATGTTCCCTCTTCTTTTGTTTGTTTCGAATCTAATATGTCAGAAGTTAATACTAATTCTTGGTGGGTTGACTCTTGTTCAACAATCCACATTGCAAACTCCTTGCAGGATATGACAAAATTGAGACAACCGATGGGAACTGAGTGTAGCATCTTCTCTGGAAACAAGATTGCATCACCAGTAGAAGCTGTCGGAGTTTGCAGTTTAGTTTTGGAAAATGGTTTTGTTTTGACATTAGAAAAGACATTTTATGTTCCTACTTTTTCATGGAATTGAACTTAGTTTCAGTTTCTAGACTTGTACTGACTGCATTAAGGGTAAGCAGGCAAACAAGTCAAAGAAAGGTGCCAATAGAAGTTCAACGTTGTTGGAAATTATTCCTACTGACATATGTCTACATCAAATAATTCTGATGTAGACCATGCCTTCTGGGACATTTATCTTCTGAATATATGCTCCAATCTAATCCCTTACTATTTTGGACTAGTCAGTTTCCTCTTATATCTTGAGCTCATACTTCTTCTCATAGTATACGCTACTGACTTTCAAACTTCATCTCAGAATTAATTCTTTCAACCAATGGGATCTCTTGATTTAATGTGAACTTCATCTCCAATTAAATCCCATGAATTAATTCTCAAATGGATCTCATACGAGTGGTGAGATCTCTATCCTTGATTGAAACTTCATCTCATACTCCAGCTTTGAAACTTCATCTCATACTCCAGCTCATACTATAAATTGTCTTTTGAAACTTCATCTCATACTTCTGCTCATACTATAAATAGTCTTTTGAAACTTCATCTCATACTTCAGCTCATACTATAAATAGTCTTTGAAACTTCATCTCATACTTCCAGCTCAGGTGACTATTTTTCTTTGAGGGATTGCACATTAATGGTTATATGCTCAACAGGCCCCCTCACGTGTGCGTGCCAATTACTTTTGTTGGGCTCTAAGAAACACGTGTACCGTAGTCACTTTTTTTATCGGGTGGCGCTAAGATTCAAACCCATGATCTTTGGCATGGATCTGATACGAAATTGAACAATGACAAGATTCATTGTATTCAATCAAAATAACTGTACATACATCAACTATTTATACATAAATAAACTATTAACCTAATGGGCCTATTCCTAAAAGAGCCTAGGGTTTCAACACTCCCCCTCAAGTTGACAACTTCGCCAACTATTAACCTAATGGGCCGATTCCGAAAGTTGTTGTAATAACCAGCAGGTAGAAAATGCAACATATTCTGTGGCTTTGGTTCTACGATAGATCTCAGCTGCAATATTAACTGGGAAGCACAATTCTATAATGGTACTCCATATTACACTCCAAGTAGCACCGGAATCTTACTTTAGTTGCATTAGGCCATTTATGTTAACTAAAAACAAAACAGCCGGCATGTATGTAATACCAATCTTGCATGGCGCCATATATAAGGTACTTGATGAATATAAAGGGAATGTGCCAAAGAATTAAGCATTAAAATTTCACAGAATCATTTCCATAATTCCTTACCAACATAATGTGCACCATTTGTAATTCCTGGCTTAGAGACATGTTACTGTGATGATGACTATATAAACTTCCCATATATCTGAAAGTTTCATCATCAGGGCAAGCAAATTAAAGTAATATTTCTTGCCAAAGGTCCCAATTGACAACATTACACTGAAAACTAATTAAAACATTTTTAAAAGAGTTATTGTCCCAGACAAACTAGACCCAGTTTGATTATTGTCCTTTGTATACCCGGAATATAATTTGAACGGCGGCAATAAAAAAGACAAAGAATTTACGAGGAAAATTCTCAATGCACAAGGTACAAAAAATTTCGTCAAACTGATCGAGTTGAATTATATTGTATGCGTATTCATTTACATAAATATAAGTCTAACTACTACATTAGACTATTTCTAGCTAAGTTATTGATGAATGGCAATAATGAATCTAAACTCTAAAGATTGAACATGACTTTGATAGCATTGCCACCACGAGCACTGGTTTCAAATGCCTCTTCAACCTCCTTCTGTGTGAACCCAAACCTGTGTGTGATCAGTGGCTTCACATCAATCTTCCCACTCCTCAAAAACTCTATGCACTGTGGCCATGTATTCTTGTACCTGAATATCCCCACTATATCCACCTCCCTACACAACAACACAACCATCATCTTTAAAAAAAAAAAACACACACACAATAAAGATATCTACAATTATAAAGTCTGCAAATAATTAATTAAAAACTACCTTGCTGCTGCAGGAGTGAGGGGGACTGTCATTTCGCAGTGGCCCATGCCGACGAGGCAAACCTTGCCGCCGGAGCAGGTTGCGCGAAGGGCGGTGGACATTGTCTTATTAAAACCGGCGCAGTCCAAGCAGACGTCGATTCCGACTCCCATAGCGGCCTTGATGTTTTCCACCTCAGATTCCACATCTTCCATCTTGTGTGAAACCTTGATAATCACATCCGCTCCCAATTTCTTAGCGAACAACTTAAAAAAATAATAATAATAATAATCGCCGGTTCACCCTGAGAGGTGGCCGCGGAAGAGGGCTATTCCGGCCTTCATCGCCGCGGCCAGCAACACGATTTTTGCAACACTGATATATAGTATAGATATAGATTAAAATAGGAATAGTTTGCAGAATTATTGTAAGAATGGGAGAATAGAAATAAATATATTTTATTAGGAAGAGAGATATTTTTGGAATTGGGCGGGAAGTTAAAATTTCATGATTTTGTTATTATATATAGTATAGATTGATTGATTACAATAGGAATTGTATTACCCTATTTTATAATATTAGAATAGAATTTTAACGCAGAATTATTGTACGAATGGGAAAGTAGAAATCAATATATTTTATTAGGAAGAGAGATTTTTTAGGAACTGGGCGGGAAAGTTAAAATTTCAGGATTTTATTATTATATATAGTATAGATTACAATAGGAATTGTATTACACTATTTTATAATATTAGAATAGAATTTTAACGCAGAATTATATTACGAATGGGAAAGTAGAAATCAATATATTTTATTAGGAAGAGAGATTTTTTAGGAATTGGGCGAGAAGCTAAAATTTCAGGATTTTGTTATTATATATAGTATAGATTGATTGATTGATTACAATAGGAATTGTATTACACTATTTTATAATATTAGAATGGAATTTTAACGCAGAATTATTGTACGAATGAGAAAGTAGAAATCAATATATTTTATTAGGAAGAGAGATTTTTTAGGAATTGGGCGGGAAGTTAAAATTTCAGGATTTTGTTATTTTATATAGTATAGTATAGATTGATTGATTACAATAGGAATTGTGATAGAAATATTTTTGTAAGTTTTGATGAGCCAAATGTACTTTAGATCCCCTTATTTTTAGGTCTTTTAGTACAAGCATCATAAATCAGAATATCAAGTCAAAAGGAATCTACCATAGGAAGAACAAAATTAATTTGGGAAATTAATTTTGGTCCTACGAGTATTCATCCGAGAAAGAAGCATAAAGGAATGACGTTGCAAGAAATAACTGGATGAGCCTAACGGCGAAATGGTAGAAGTCCTTATTCAAAATGATCACACCCAAGATCGATTCCTACAATGTATGAAAAGGAGCACAATGTTTCTAAAAGAGCACAATGTGAACAAGCACGATGTGTTTAAAGGGTCACAATGTGACCAAATCAGAAAGAGCACAACTTGTTCAAGTCAAACAACCCAAGTCAAAGGAGTTCGAAGGAATTTATTTTGGATTAGCCCACATGCCACAAGAGTCCAAAATTGCCTGAAGATATTTGATCAGAACGGAAAAATATTTATGAAGACATGAATATAAAAACTTATCTTAGAAATAAATTCTATCAGATGAATTTATTTCAAAGATTCATTGGATATTCAAATTGACAACAAAAATAATATTTTAAGAAACAACTTGAAAATCAAGTTGAGATAAAATATTATTTTGTTAGGCAAGTTGACAATCAAATCAAAATTGATGATCTACTATTGTCAACAATATCAGGCTATGAAGATTCAAATTTCAAATATCAAATTATCCCACTCCAACGGATATATTTGATTGCCTATAAAAAGCCATGAAGACTTGAAGACAAGCAGAGATAGAGGTGCAATACACACGGATAAACAAAGTGCAAAATTCAAAAGTGCGAGTGCTCAAATATTGTTAGAGACTTTATCTGAATAGTCTCAAATCTAGTTGTAGAGAGATACAATTACCTTTGTATTTGTAATTGTACAAAGAGTATAGCTGTGTGCAAAATACTCTAAAGAGTGTAGCTATGTGCAAAACACTCGTAGTTGCTAAGTGTAGCTGTGTGCAAGACACTTAGTTGGCGTTGAGTATAGCTGTGTGCGAAATACTCGGAGTTGAGTGTAGCTGTGTGCGAGACACTCGGAGTTGGGTGTAGCTGTGTGCAAGACATCCGGAAGAAGTGCTTGTGTAGCGCTTATTCACTATTGTAATTGTGTGTGGAAAATAGTGAATTACTCCTAGAAGTGAATGGAGTAAAGTGGACTAGGAAGATTACGCCACTTCCGAACCACTATAAATTGCCTCTCTGATTTACATACCGCACTTACATAATTTGCTCTATTTATCTATCTTATCCGACTAACCCGTTTACTATTCACAGTTAATCTTAATCATCTGGGTTTAGTGTGTTTTCACGTATGCATGTGACTCAAACTTCTCGAGCTTAAATATTGGAATATTCTAAGCAAGTTTGACGTGTTGCATGTAACGTTCGTCACACGGTCGACGTGACACGATATTTATATACAATCTTGAATATTATTGTTATATATTGAGTGAACCATCTCCTTTATATATTCAAGATACCTCTGTCACTTTACATATTATCTGTACCCTTCTTACATTACTATTATTCCACTGTGTAGTTTAAACTTACTCTATTTACTTGTTACTTAGAGTTGAAGTTACCAAAGAGTTATTTATTTTGAAAAAGCTTGAAAGTCTATTCACCCCCCCCCCCCCTCTCTAGACTTTCACCACCCTATCGGGACCAACAATTGGTATTAGAGCGATTGTCTAATCAAGTCAACTTTGACTGCTAGACAGATCTCGAAAAATCAAGATGATGAAAAGCGATATGGCTCTTGCCCAAAATTTATTATTTTCCTTAGAGAAATTTGATGATTGGAAAATTCGCATGCAGGTACATTTATCCGCGTTACATGATGAAATGTGGGAAATTGTTACGAGTGGTCCTATTGAGATTTTACAAGTCAACACTTCATCCGTACAAACAAGTGACACTCCACAATACATTCCAAAATCGAAAGCGGAATGGTCTCGTGAAGATAGAACAAGAAATAACTTGGACAATATTGCCAAGGATATTTTGTTTAAATCTATCGATGACACAATATTCCCAAAAGTTCGAAAATGTCAATCCGCGAAGGAAGTTTGGGAAACGCTCATTCAAGTTGGTGAAGGAGACGAGCAAGAAAAGGATAATAAGCTCATCATAGCATTAAAGAAATTCGAGGATTTCAAAATGCTAAACGGCGAGAATATTACCAACATGGAAACAAGATTTGCCAAAATCTTAGAAGAGATTAATGATCTTGGAAAAGATGTTAATCAAAAAGAAATCTCACTCAAAATTTTACGTGGTCTACCATCTACATGGGACATGAAGGTCACGGCCATGAGAGATCATAGGGATCTAAAAATCCTATCAACCGATAAGCTCTTTAGTGATCTAAAAGCTTATGAATTTGAGATGAAATCAAAATTAGAGGAAGATCATGAAGAAAAGAGCAACGCGCTTGTAGCTGAGCAACCATCAACTTCAAGGTCAGTACAAAATGTTGAATTATTGCCTAACGATCAATTTGCTCTCTTTGTCAAGAAATTTAGGAAATTCATGAAGAGAAGCAACTACAAGAAAAATCCACAAGGAAAATCGTGGAATGAAACAAAGAATTCGAAGAAAGAAATTGTTGAGGAAGACTCAAATTTGTGCTACAACTGTAGAAAGCCTGGACACTTTGCAGCTAGTTGTCCACACCCCAAGGTAAGTAAAAGTCAATACACAAATATTTCTAACTCTCAACAGGAAGAGTTCAAGCCCAAAGATAAAAGATTCACAAAGGAGAGAAGAAATGCACTTATTAGTGACCCACTCTCAACTCAAAGAGTGCAATGATTTTTTAATTCGTGAAAAAGATGAATTAAATGAAAAATTGCAAAATGCTCTACTTGAAGTGAAAGACTTGAAAGATAAAATTATTTGTCTTCAAGAAGAGTGTAAATCAAGGGAAGTGAGAGAACACAACCTTAGAGAGGTTATAGCAACATTTACACATTCATCCAAAATAATGGACAAAATGGTAAATATGCAAAAACCCTCAAGTGATAAAACCGAACTCGGTTATGATCCATCGTGTTCTCAAGCCTCCAAAAACTTGGCCAATTCTACTACTACTTTAAATAATAAAGTCCAAGTAGTAAAATTTGTAAAAGGTCAAGAAAGCACAGTGAGACAAGGAATTGGTCACAAAACTAATGTCAAAATTAATGCTGTTAGGCCGAAGCCTCAAAGAAACAATATTTCGCCTAAACAGTATGTAAAAAGACAAAAGTTTGTTCCTAAATGGAAATACACCAATGAGTCTAGTGCACAAAGCCCTCATAGGAGAATGGGAAGGAATCCAAGAATCGAGGCAGGGAGAGTTTATCCCTCCAAACAAGATTGGTTTGATAACATTAAAACATTGACTAAGTCCAGATTTAATGCCCATCATAGGCTCAAACAATCTACCTCCCACGTGCCAAATAATCGAGTAAATTTTCAAAAATCGGCACAAAAAATATTTTCAAAAATTAAATACAATTATAATGTGTTTAATGGTTACCAATCACCTAAACTTAGATCAGTGAGTACAAGGTGGATTTGGGTACCAAAAATGACTAACACCCAAGGACCCAAATCAAGTTGGATACCTAAAAATGTGTAATTTATTTGCAGGAAGTTTGGTACTTCGATAGTGGATGTTCTAGACACATGACTGGAAATAAATCTAGTCTTGTGAATCTTAAAAATATCGAAGGACCAAAAGTCGTATTCGGCGGAAATGAACGATACGACATAACAAAAGGAATTGGTACAATATTTCGAAATGGTTTGAAAATCGAAGATGTATCCTTTGTTGAAGGTCTAAAATTCAACTTGTTAAGTACAAGTCAATTTTGTGACAAAGGATATCTAGTAGAGTTCTTCAAAGATAAATGCCAAGTGAAGAATAATTCCTTGGGAGAAGTTGTGCTCGAAGGAATATGGAAGAAAAATATGTATGTTGTGGATTGGAACACAACCAAAGAATTAGTGTGCCTACTAGCAAACAACTCACACGCAACAAGCTGGGAATGGCATAAGAAGTTGAATCATCTAAACTTCAAGACTGTCAACAAGCTAGCAAGAAACAAACTCGTT